CGTAGATTAATATTTATAGTTTAAATAAAAACAAATAAAATTACCTAACTACCCTCACCCACCCAATCCCTCTTCTTCCCCTTCTTTCTTTCTCTTTCTTTCTTTCTTGCCTTGGGTCTCCACCAGGCTGGATTCCGATGGCGGCAACGAACCCAGCCTGTTGGATCTTGTTGGAACCCAGCCTGGCTGGGTCTCCCTTGCTGGGTTCCAACGAGACCCTGCAGGCCTCGTCGAACCCAGCTTGGCTGGGTTTTAGGAAACCTAGCCTGGGTTCCGATGAACCCTGTTGGGTCTCGTCGAACCCAGCCTTGCTGGGTTCCCCCGAACCCAGCAGCTGGGTTCGACAAGACCCAGCTGGGTTCCGATGAACCCAACTTTGCTATTTCGATGCTGGATTCATGTTTTTTCATTCTTCTTTCGATTTTCATTTCCAGTTGTTAATAAATTTGAGAGTTGATTTATAGTTTCATTGATATTGTTTATCGAAGGGTTAATTTGATTTGATAAGATTTACTAAGTTTGAGACTTCAATGAAACCTAGTAGCTGGGTTCAATTTCTCAAGTTCTCTTGAGAAAAGAGAAGAAGAAGAAATGAGTTAAGATCGGTTTTGTAGAGGAGTGGAGATGAGAGAGCATTAAGAGAAGAAGAAAAAATGTATTAAGATTGATTCTGCAGATGGAGTGGAGATTGATTGTGCAGATGGAGTGGAGATTGATTTTGCAGAGAGTGAAGATGAGAAAGGAAGATGACATGTCACAAAAAAAGTCCAAATTAGCGCCTTTTTAAGTTATTTTTGCCATGTCATAAAAAAATATAAAAAATGCCACGTGACCAATTTAATGGCGAAAATTAACAGAAGGGCTAACGGAGTGCATTTCGTATAGTTGAGGGATCAAAAAAGTGCAAAAAATTGTTGAAGGAGCAAAAATGTGCAACTCATTAAAGTTGAGGGACCAAATTTAGCATTTAACCATAACTTTAACACCAATCATTTCCTTCCATTACCTTTTCTTCCCTTCCCTCCCCCTCCCTTCACTCCGCTTGCCTTAACTTATTTTTATCTAAACATACTCTAAATGTACAAAGAAATCCATTCCAATCCATTTGAATTGGAGGTATGGAAAACAAAGGAGTGGAGGGCACTCTATCTCCCTCCATCTCCATCTCCATCTCCATCTCCCTCCATTAAAATATATATAATTCAAACAAGAGAATAAAATATTTTCCCCTCACTCTCCTTCACTCCCCCTTTTAACTCCAATCCAAATAGATGCTTAATTTACTACTAGTACTAGTGTTTGTTCTTTGCAGTTTACTTCTAGGTTATATATATGGGTTTTTCTAATGATCTTTGTAGTTTATTGTTACCTAATATATATATATATATATATGAGAAGAGATCCATTTATATATAAATTTTACAAATTATACGTATACAAAATCTCAATCATTCATCTCTCAATCCTTGATGATTGAGATTTATCACGACTTTTTGGATGAAAACAGTGATTATCTTTAATAAATGTGAATAAATCTTAATAATTGAAAGTAAAGAGATGAATGATCAATATTTTGTGTAAATATAGCATGTAAACATTGTGTATAAATAAATCCATACTTATATATATATAATCTATATTTTAAAGATAGATGTTAAGAATACCTTTTTCATTATAAATTTGTATACAAAATGTGAAAACTAACATTAATTTTTTATCCCTTGTATGAATTTAATTAG